TGTGTCTTATTATTATTATGCTATATTAGAATCAAAAGACAATTTAAAAATAAAGTTACAAAAAATTAACAATCTTCTGCGATTAAACAACTAAAAACAAATAAAAACTTGTTCTTAAAAGCAATGTTAATTCAAAAAGAAAAAGTAGCTGCAATAAACTCGCACTTAAAGCTATTTATTAACACTTATAAAATATACAAAACGAATAGGCAGCCTTGAAAAAAACGAACTCAGTCTTGAAAACATCCTCCCACTTACGTTTCGCCCTGCTTGTCGAGGACTTCCTGCTCGCTGGAGTGTCCGAAGCGGTACTTCTCGCGGTTCTTGTCGGCGAACTTCAGGAAAACCTTGGCCAGTTTGGAGTCGATGTCGCTGAAGTAACCGAACACAGTGGTGTCCTTGGTGTCCAGGAACTTGGTCAGCTCGGCGACGGTGCGCACGTTCTTGGAGGCAGGGCCCACCTGGGCGCGCATGTACTTGGCAATACCAGCGGCCTCACGTGGTCCATTGTAGTCCTGCGACACTTCGTCTTGGCGGAAGATCTTCAGCGTGGGGTAGCCGCTGACGGAGTACTTGCTGCAGGTCTCCTTGCCAGCTTCCGTGCAGTCAACCTTGGCCAGTTTGATTGGCGGATCGTCGTCCTTCACGAGCTCCGCCGCCTTGGCGTACTCGGGCTTCAATCGCTTGCAGTGGCCGCACCTAGAACAAGAAAAATAACGCTATTAGGACACGACACTTAAACATTTTCGGAGCACCAGTGTCTAATTCATCATTTGTTATCAAGGCAACGAAAAGACAAGTTCCCAAAAAACTAGCTTGTAATTAAAGTTAGGGTGCGGGACCTATCAGCTGCCTTATCACCCTCTCTAACATTAAGTACAAGTGCCCATTAAGCCTACACAGAAGGAAACCCCTTAATGTTTTGTTTAAAAGAAAAAGGTTGGGAGTTCTAATAACGTATCACACTTTCTGAAAATGTTAAATTTTTTGATGCAATAATAAAAAAAATCAAAAAAGTATATACTGCTTGAAAAAAGATAATTCCAGCTGTAGAATTATAACAAACCAAAACCAAATAAAACCTTTGTAATACATATGTACTTTGAACATATATGAACATTTAGAAACCTAACGACTTTCTACTAGAAAAAATAAGTTTAAAATATCACTTTTTTACATAATTAAAACCAAATGTTAAGTTAAAATTGTGTTAAAATGGTCTCTGTGTATTTATGTGTTAGTACTGATAAGGTTTATGGTGTGGGGATTATATTTCCAGGCCAAAGTAGTTCAACAGCTCTTTTGGGATTTAAAATGCTAGCACGCCGGCCGGCAAAAAAAAAACAAATACTTTACTTGGCAAGTTCATTGCTCGAGTGTGAGTTTATGGTTTCCCCTGATAATTGAAAAACATATTTACTTAAAGCGAGAAAATGTAAAAAATGTTTATGCTTTAAAAGATTTTTAAGTTAATTACTTAATACATTATCATCGTTTTATCCAAAGTTGTACATATATAAAAGTTTGGTATAACAAAGCATCATTAAATGTGTATATCTTTAAAGGAATACAAAACTGTGTGTGCATTATATTCAATGCGAGATGCCCATATTACTTATGTATCTACAAAAGAGACACATGGAAACTTAAGGTGAGCTTGCGTATTTAATGTTTTTTTAGGAAAGTCATTAAACGATTTTATATAGATTTGAAACGATTTCTTTGTGAGATAGGATACCCCTTTAAAAGTTACTTTTCAAGATTAAGCAGTAGTATATAGTGGGTGTTATCTTATCAGTATGTATACGAATATAGTCTAACATCTGGCCCAAGCTAAAGGGGTAGTCGAAGATATAGAGCAGGATGTATTTAAGGAGTAGATGATACCCATCTTCTCACTATCATTATACGTTTTTTAAGTGAGTCGCGAGAAGTAATTGTATGTACATTGGCACCCCGCTCTTTAAAATGGCCGACAACACACCAATACTGGCTCGTCATCTTTGTGCCTTTCCCTCTCTCGTTTCGTTTCTCGTTCCGTCTTTTTATGCCGGCAATCGCTGACGTGTACTTGGCGATTCCATACGAATGCCGGGGAATCGGAATCGGGAATTGAATTAAGTTGCAGACGCAACAAGCTGATTAGCCACGAATCGCACACGCAACGCATATGGTGTGGCACCCCCTTTATATGTAGGTGAAGTATAGCCCCCCCTGCCACGCCCACCCACTCACCAGGGGGCGTAGAACATGACCAGCGTAGTCTCATGTTGCTTCAGGGTGCTGGCGAAGTCGTCGTCTCCCAAATCCAGAACGTCCTGCTCTGATCCTGATGAGAGGGCCACGAAGCCCAGGAGTAGCACTCCAGCCAGTCGCCACATCATTTTTCGGGTATTACTCAAAACGATTTCGGTAAATAATTCAAGTTCAACTAGGCCGTCGACCGCCTACTACTACAACAAAAACTTAGGTCCGGACCGGTTCGATTTTCTTCAACGATTGACTCTGCTTTTCGTCTCTTTCGCCACGTCGCTTCTTATTCTGCTTCGTGGTGGTGTGGCCAGGCGCCGTTGGGGCGGAAATGCCAAAGGTCATCGAAAGCTTTTATAAATTAAGAGCTTTCATTAAATTAATTAAATAAAAATTTTAAAATTATGTGTCTGTAGCTTAATTGTTATTATTAATATTATTAATTTATAAAAAAAGCTAAATTAAGGGAAAATAAAAACTTTTAATATTGCCTGTACTGCTAATAAATGTCTTGCATAGTAGCGTCTTATCTGCCCACAGTAAATATTTTCATAATTATTATTAAATCAATTTCGCAAAAGTAGGAAAACGCTGAAAAAGCTTTTGGACTCTTGCAATAAAAAGGTGTGCACTGATTACTCATATTTTACTCATAGGACAAGTAATTGGTGAGTAGAGTAGAAGTGCAAATAGTGTAAATATATAATTTCCCAAAAATATCAATAAATATAAATATAATTTCCCAAAAATATCAATAAATAGCGAACAACTATGTGGTCAATAACAAACCAATCAAAAAATTATAATATAAATAATACCTATAAAGTGCTACGTACATTATACCGCCAACTAAAATAATTATGATTAGTTTTTTATTAGTTTTTATTCAAAATGAAAGTAATTAAAAAAATGTTAGCCACAGCAAATTGTGTAGTTTTGTAATTATATTTTAATTAGGATAATAAAAAAATCTATAAATTATACAAATATATTCATTATACTACAAATGACTAATTTGAATAAATCAAACTGGTTTCCACAATGCAGTATTACCGTGTTCCTTCTAGCATGACGCAAAAAAGCACACGACGTCCACGTTAAGCGTTCGCGTCCAAGTAACTCTTGCGTCCTCAACGCACTTTCTTGCCCAAAATATTGACATTGAATGAGAATTTAAAAAATAGTTAATCTGGTTTAATCGTCTTATATTTATAAAAATATTTTGAATTAGACGGTGATTTTTTAGAATTATTCCAATATTAAAAATTAGTAACAATAATAATAAATAAAATATATAACAAATATTTATTATTGAAAAACAGTGACTACATTTTTCATTTAGGCAAATAATTATGCATGTTGAATTCTTCACTCGATTTGGAAACAGACCTACCTATTGGTTGCTGTCCTCATAAGGAGCTTACAAAATAAAAAGCACAGTAGACCTTTGGAAATAAATGTTTCAAACAACTGTTATTTACGGTCTCTGATAAAAATAAATACTAGTCAAACATTTTTAAATTAAACTGGCTACAAAATATAGTCAATACCCTCTCTGAGAACCTCAAAAGGTTTTTCCTGAGACTTTTTTCAATTGTCGCGCCCACGGACGCGCCTCGTGGAGACACCTTGCGCAGCCAGTGGAAACGCCGCAGTGGAGACACCGCCCTCGCGATAGTATCGCCGGTTTGACAGCTGCGCAGCGCGGTCACACCGCGTGTCAAACGAGGCTTCCTGCGCTGAGCCCTGCCGAACACTCGTTCACTTTGTTCGAATCCGTCGCCGCTTAGACTTCGTGATTTCTCATTCAGCTTATTCGAGAGTAAGTTCCACCAGTGAGACTATAATTAAGTGAATTCTGCACCGGGACTGCAGCCAGCGAACAATTAATAAACAAATATGCATTTTGGACGCCGATTTTGTGCATATTTTGTGGTGTTTCTGTGTGTGTGGTGTGCCGATGCTGGAGATAACCTCTAACGGCGTTTTTCCCAAAGTGAAAGGTGGCCATCGAATTGAGGCGAAAAGCAAACACGTGGCAGTCTGCAAAGGCGAACATTTTAAACTCGCATGGCTTCTTTTACTGGCCCCGCATTTGCTTATTCATTTTCCGGTTTTCCGAGCCGCATTTTCGCCCTGCAATATGGTGCAATTAGTGTGCAATTAATATGCCACGCCCACGCCGCTCACAGAGGTCATCCACCAGATGTGCCAATTAACACGTGAAAAAACGTGGTTTTTTTGCCTTTGTCTTTCATTCTTAGATTTTCATTTTCTATCTATGCGGCATGGAATTTCAAAATGGCGACTCAGTATGAGTCAAGTATAAAAAAAAAGAATAGAAAAAACCTCTAGCAACACGCGAAAAATGTGCTTTTTCGGGTTTCCAGCCCATTAACATAGCTGGTGAAATTGCATTTCCCAGCGATTTTCTAATTGATTTTACTCAATATGGCTGTCGTTGCACTTTAAATTCTTGATTAAATCGTTTTTCTCTCCCTCTCTTCCTTTTTCATTTCCAATTTCCAATTGTGCCACCGCGGCGAGATCGCTTGCCTTTGTATAAGTCACACACACTCATGCCCAGCCGCCATTTTGCTCGCCTCACCTCTCTCTTTCATTTTCCTCCGGCCGGCAACAGCGTCACGCTCACACACACACACGCAGAGACAGGCACACACGCGCAAGCAGATAAGCACATGTGTATTTGCGAATTAAATTTGCTGGAATTTTCCTTGGGACTCTTCGATTTAATATGATGATTAACATTCAGTTCTGCTACTGAAGAAATTTGACGATAACAAAAATACCAAAATCACTGATAAAATCGAGTTTCCATAAGGAATATATTTTTTTGCACGCTTTTATTCCTCTTTGTATTTGCGCCCCCTCTCTTTTACCCACACCCATACATGCGGGCACTCAACCTAACCTCAAAAAACACGTTTTGTACGTCGGTCGGAGTTTGAGGTTAGGTTGAGTTTTTGGGCATGCAAACGAAAGTCGAAAGTACGCAAGGGGAATGAGAAAATGTTTTACCCACTAATAAAGTAGTTGATAATTAAGTACTTGTGTACCCACCGAATGCTAACGAATTGTTTTACCCTTTGTTTATTCCAACCTCTCTTGCTCGCCAACCCACCGAATCCTGCAACCTTCCAATGTTCCAACGTGTCCAACATATTTCCAACACTCGAACACACGCACACCCATCGTGTAACAACAGCCATCGTGTAATCATCCAACATGGGCAAGGAAAAGATTCACATCAACATTGTCGTGATCGGACACGTCGATTCCGGTAAGTCGACCACCACCGGACACTTGATCTACAAGTGCGGTGGTATCGACAAGCGTACCATCGAGAAGTTCGAGAAGGAGGCCCAGGAGATGGGCAAGGGCTCCTTCAAGTACGCCTGGGTTTTGGATAAGTTGAAGGCCGAGCGCGAGCGTGGTATCACCATCGATATCGCCCTGTGGAAGTTCGAGACTGCCAAGTACTACGTGACCATCATTGATGCCCCCGGACACAGGGATTTCATCAAGAACATGATCACTGGTACCTCGCAGGCCGATTGCGCCGTGCTGATTGTGGCCGCCGGAACCGGAGAATTCGAGGCCGGTATCTCGAAGAACGGCCAGACCCGCGAGCACGCCCTGCTCGCCTTCACCCTGGGTGTGAAGCAGCTGATCGTTGGTGTCAACAAGATGGACTCGTCCGAGCCACCATACAGCGAGGCCCGTTATGAGGAAATCAAGAAGGAGGTCTCCTCGTACATCAAGAAGATCGGTTACAACCCGGCCGCCGTTGCTTTCGTGCCCATCTCTGGATGGCACGGCGACAACATGTTGGAACCCTCCAACAACATGGACTGGTTCAAGGGATGGAAGGTTGAGCGCAAGGAGGGTAACGCCGACGGCAAGACTCTGATCGATGCCCTCGATGCTATCCTGCCCCCAGCCCGTCCCACCGACAAGGCCCTGCGTCTGCCCCTGCAGGATGTGTACAAAATTGGCGGTATTGGAACAGTACCCGTGGGCCGTGTGGAGACCGGTGTGCTGAAGCCCGGTACCGTTGTGGTCTTCGCCCCAGCCAACATCACCACTGAGGTCAAGTCCGTGGAGATGCACCACGAGTCCCTTGTGGAGGCCGTTCCCGGAGACAACGTTGGCTTCAACGTCAAGAACGTGTCCGTGAAGGAGCTGCGTCGTGGCTACGTTGCCGGTGACTCCAAGGCTAACCCCCCCAAGGGCGCCGCCGACTTCACCGCCCAGGTCATCGTGCTGAACCACCCCGGCCAGATCGCCAACGGCTACACCCCCGTGCTGGATTGCCACACCGCTCACATTGCTTGCAAGTTCGCTGAGATCAAGGAGAAGGTCGACCGTCGTTCCGGCAAGACCACCGAGGAGAACCCCAAGTTCATCAAGTCTGGCGATGCTGCCATCGTCAACCTGGTGCCCTCCAAGCCCCTGTGCGTGGAGTCCTTCCAGGAGTTCCCCCCTCTGGGTCGTTTCGCTGTGCGTGACATGAGGCAGACCGTGGCTGTCGGTGTCATCAAGGCTGTCAACTTCAAGGATGCTTCCGGTGGCAAGGTCACCAAGGCCGCCGAGAAGGCCACCAAGGGCAAGAAGTAGCTGGTTTGCACCCACTCAACAAGCAGCAGCAGCAGCAAACAAGTAACCAACATCATGATGCAGCCAACCACACCACTCAACAATAACAGCAACAACAGCAGCAGTGAGCACAATAGTAGTCCAACACCAACACCTGTCCTGCGCAAGATGACCGATAAGATGATGTTCCAGCAGAAGCAAAAGTTTAATTTCTTCCATCGAAAGGAATTTCGACGGATACGAATGCTAAATGCAGTCGACGCCGCCTAAAATGGGAAACGGTGGATCCCAAGGATGAGTGCAAACTGGGAAAAAACACATGCATTTATGCATCCACTCCTCCTCCATCTCCCCGTCGATCTTTAGTTTACTACATATGATATGATAAGGAGTTGACTTCGTTATGGTATCATATATAGATATCCTCTGTAGCATTTATATCGTTTAAATTAACCTTTTTAATTTGATATGTATCATTTATCTTACCCAACTTTTGCACACACTACTTTGTACACAAGAAAAGAACCAGAATAGAAGCGATAACTTTATTTACAAAAAAATAAAAACCCTATTTTTGTATTTATTTTGTTTTTACCACCCAGCCACTAAAGCACCATCTTTTTGGTTGTTGCCTTTTGATTTTCAGCGCTATGATCAACCACAAGCCCAAGTTCAACTTATCGTCGATGCCACAAAGTACAAACATGAGCTAGTTGAAGAGTACAACATTTAAATCTGACAACAAATACCTCAATCGTTTAAATAAAGCGAGCATTTGCAACTGAAGGAATTTCAAAATGTTTTATTGGGGTGGCTTAAGAATAAATTAAAACTGGAGTTGGTCAATAAACATTTATTTTTTTAAAAAAAGGGAAATGGAAAATAATAGTTACATAAAAGTACAACTATAAAAATTAATTAACTTAGTAATAGGCACGTATTTACAAAAATAAAAGTTTGTTAACAGTTGTATATATTGATACAAATGCTGTATCATTGTGGAATTCATATTATATATCATATTCTTGATTATATTGCATCAGTTTCATTAAAATTTAGTGGTTGTACACATATGTACAACATAGGCAGCCGGAAATAATGTTTGTTTTTTATTGATTAACCTTCGGGTATTTTATTTATTTAAATACATTTTGAATAAAATCAGTTGTTTATCTCTGCCAATTCTAAAAAAACCATCAACTAAACATCCTTAAAAATATTAAAATCAGTCGAATTAGACTAAAAGTACATAATAAAATAGAACTATATTTACATATGCGTATTTGGAAAGTTTGGCAACAAAAAGGTGAACAGATGTGGAAAATAGAGAACACCCGCCGATCTTTACTTGTCCAGCACCAACGGTGGATCCACGTAGTCGTGTTGACGCCCATGCGATTGGGTTTCCTCATCGAGCTCCCTGGGATCCTCGTATCGGATACCTGCCGCCGTGATAATGGCGCTCTTCATAAGATATCTGCCGAACTTCTGGATCTGCATGTTGGTGATGCTGTCTAGCACCCAGAAGGGATCCAGGTAGACGCGGTCGTCCTCGGCGCGCCGCTTATCACCGATGATGTACTTGGCCTTGAAGCGGTTCTCGGTCAGGGTGGCGCCGCCCAGCAGGAGCAGCTCCTTCATGTTGTTGAACTGCATCGGTCGGCAGAGAGATGAGACATAGAAGGGCTCCATGAATCGGAACAGCTCGCACTGGTAGTGGACGCCGAAAGCCTGCCTTTCAGTGCGGCAAATCTGTGGGGATTGAAATAGGAATAAGGTGATTATGTAGCCAATGGTAGGAGCATATGACTCACCTCGATGGCCCGTGAAAATCTGGTCAGTTCGAAGGGCTCTTCACCGACCCACTTGCCGGCTCGAATCGATGCCAGAACCCATTGATAGCTAACGATCCAGACGCCGCGCATCAGGCCGCGCAAGAGATTCAGGGTTCGACGCGGCTCCAGGCTAACCAGGTGGGTGGTGCGCTGGGTCACGGTCGGATCCAGCCGCATGCCGCGTAACTTGCGCAGGGCCTGGGATTGAAGGCGGTTTGCGATTAGGATTTATGACCGCCACGGATATTATTTATTCAATTGAGCGGGAGGCTTTACAAATGAGGGACTGCTCTACCAATCTACCGAGTGTTGTTTATGCTTAATCAATAATTAATATGGGCCATTAACGAGTTGCGAATATGCTAATTTACAAACTAGTACGGTTTACTAACTAATCCATTACTGGAGTTTGGGACACGGACTACAATGGTTACAATCGGAGGGTGTTGTGGGTGGTGTACTGGTCACTCCGTTGTGCTACCAACCTTGTGGATGACCTGGATCTGCTCCTGGTGCATGTTGGTGTGCACTAGAGTGCGTATGCGTGAACGTTGTTTGCCCTTGGGCTTGTCGCCTTCCTCCTCTGCGACTGATATGGAATCCTCTAAATCTGGAACGCCGCTCTTTTTGGGATCCTCTTCCTGTGCTGTTGTTATAGTTTTGGGAACAGGAGGCGGGACACACACATCCAAAGAGGACGACTTGGCCGGAGTGGCTAGCGAACGACGACGCTTCTGCACGGAGCTCGAGGAGCTAGAAATGCTAAGGCGACTTTTCCTACTGCTTTTGGGTGGTGATATGACCACCTCATCATTTGGATTGAAAAGGCGTCGCCTTTTGGGCTCTTGCGGTGCGATTGCCTCCGCCTGCGGTGGTTCTTGCTCCGAAACTATGCGGCACTCGCCCAACTCGGCCTCATTGGCCAAAGCTAGAGATCTGCGATGCGATTGGTTAATCCTTTCGATGCTCTCGTTAATCACCTCCATGTCCAGGTTGAAGATGGTGCGCCTGCGGTTCCCTGTGGACTGACCGACCGGCAGACGCGTGGAGCTGAACAGCGGCGTCAGTGGCTCCTCCATGATGGAGTTTGATGTCTGAGTAGTGACGTTGTTGAGCGATTGTCTACGTAGAAGCACGTTTTCATCCCTGAGCTCGGAGCTGGATGTGGCCACGCTGCGGCGCCGAGAAGCACTTATGTCCATCCATTCGGAGGCATAGAGAGTACCCCGCCTATCTGCTTTGTGGGAAGCTTCCGCCTCCATTGCGGTAATCTCTATTGACTGCACAACACAATCCGTTTGGTTGGTTGTCTTGTCCTCCATCATAACTACAGAATTCCTGTTCTCTTCAATGGGAGCCAGCTCCTCGGTTATGGTCTGAATGGTTTGCTTCTGGGCTGTTTCCTCTGGCTGTTTGGCAGCCCCCAGCAACGAGCTCCTGCGTCGAGTCATCCTGGGCTCCATAGCTGCGGCTGGAGCTGGAGCAGCTTCCTGTATTGGCGTGGACGCCAAGCCAACGTGGAGCGAGCTCCTGCGGCGGGTCATTCTGGGTTCCGTAGCAACGGGACTGCTGATTTCCGCCACGCAGCTTCGACGACGACTAGTGCGCACTGGAGGGGTCATCACCGGCGGTGGATCCACCGTACTCCGACGTGGTCGCGGCGTGCTTGATGGTTTCGGCTGGGGGGTATTGCTGGCCGACTGCTCACCAAATTGCAGACTCTTTTGGGCCTGAACTTTTTCGGCCGCCGCGTCTCCACTACCATTGCTTCCCTTTGGCTGCGAAGCAGCCACTGCGGGCAAGGGAGTGTAGCAGCCACTGCTTATCCTGTGTTGAAAGATAGTTTAGATTTAGTTGAAAACCGTTTTGCTTTAAAAATATCATTTGAAGACTCACCTGTTAAGTAGCTTGGTGGCAGGCGACTCGATTACCTCATCATCAGAAGCTTTGTTGTGGTTCAGGGCCCTAAAGAAGCGGCTGATGTCATTCTGGAAGGAGAAAATGTAAGTTTTAAACCATAGTCAATATTGTTTTCAATTTACATTTCAGTGATTCAAAAATATTTTTAATCATTTTGTATTTACTAAAAAATGTACGTTTGTAATAAATTTTTGTATGGAATTATTGACTCATAATTATGATATATTGGGAATAGAAAGACGTTAAAGACGTATTTGGTTGTTGAAATGCGAATCGATTTTATCCTACGCAAACAAGGTGAAATACATATATTCTTTCAGAACTCGATTGATATTAAATTAAACAGGGTTCCTTGACTTACCTTTGGTGTGGTGGTTGTTGGAGTTCCCGGTTGGGCTCGCTTGTTGGCCGATCCGGGCTCATTGTCCTTGGAGGATGTGGGTGTTCCCTGGCGCTTTCGTGGTTTTTGACTTAACTCCGAATCTGGCTGCATGAACTTAACGCGCTGCAAATTCAAGTTTTCAAGATTTGGTAAATAAAAGTTGGCTTAGGAGGTCTAATTGTGGTGAGCAGCCCATGCCCTTTGGTGGTATATTGTTGATGCTGCGGATGCTGCCCACTTTTTGCCCGACTCTGTCAGTCATGTTGACTAGAAAACACTGTTTTATTTGTTTATAACTACGTGATAACCGGCCCGTTGTTTAAATAAAAACGTTCTTATCAGGAGTAAGACCAAAATGGCTGCCTGTTGAGATGGATTGTCTACCAAACAGTAATCGATAGTAATGACTTATGCTAAAGATAAGGAGGTATTTAAATAATCTTAAATTGTTAAATGAGCTTACAAATAACGTGTTAATAATAACGTTTTAAATTTGAAAAGTACGCCTAGGGAGTGCCATCCCTAGCACTTGCTGATAATCGATAGACACCAGCGATAACACTATCGATAGCCGGGGCAAGCGGCCAACAGCCCTATAAAAATTGGTTTTTGTGGGGCTGTCAGCTCAGTCAGCGGCTCATTCATCACTTTCCGTCGCGCTCCAGTAGAACTAGTAGTCTAGACTTTTATCAAAACCGACAGTATTACACGCCACCCCCCGTAAATTCCCTCCCAACCACAAGAAAACTCTTGGGCATTCCACAAACACAACGAACAGAAGACGATAAGCAACAAGTGTTCCGGAGATTCCCTTGAAAAACACAGAACTCAAAACTCCATCGAAACTTACACAATTCCAGTTGTTTTGTTTACCCTGCAATCAGTGCCCAAGAACGTGGCACATTTCCAACTGCGAGTAAACAATCGAGGTACGACAATTAAAAAAAAAAACTTGTTCTGTCCGCACACGCGAATAAATCTTGGGAACAATTCCATACCAGCCGGTGACGAGTACGGCGGAGCAGCAGTTGTAGCCCTCAAGGCAAGATGATTCCCGGCTATGGACCCGTGACGCAGGCCCTGCTGGGCACCCTGCTCACTTGGGGACTCACGGCCGCCGGCGCCGCTCTGGTGATCTTCGTCCGGGGAAACCAGCGGAGGTCCCTGGATGCCGCCCTGGGATTTGCAGCAGGCGTGATGATAGCTGCCTCCTTCTGGTCACTCCTCAAGCCGGCCATTGAAATGGCTGAGAGTTCCCACTTGTACGGAGTCTATGCCTTTTTGCCTGTGTCAGGGGGCTTCCTCCTGGGCTCCATTTTCGTCTATGGCTGCGACAAGCTGATGTCCTACTTGGGCCTCAACAGCACTAACATGATGATCCAGATGACGCAGTCCAAGGACAAGGCGGACATAGCCATCGAGGACTCGAAGCGCAATGGAGGCGGTGCCTCTGATCGGTTGGCTTCCAAGAGCCTGGACAGCTTCTCGGACTGCCTGAGTGTGCAGCACAGCGGGGAGTCGAGGCGCCGCAAGAAGGGCGCCAGCATCAACGAGATGGAGCAGTGCACCTACACCACGCCCGAGGAGCAGCAGCGCGCGGAGGAGGCCCTGTCCCAGTGGAAGAGGATCATGCTCCTGGTCGTGGCCATCACGGTGCACAATATACCCGAGGGACTGGCTGTGGGCGTGAGCTTTGGTGCCATCGGCACGACTAACTCATCGACATTCGAGAGTGCCCGCAATCTGGCCATCGGCATCGGCATTCAGAACTTCCCCGAGGGACTGGCCGTTAGCCTGCCCCTGCATGCCGCAGGATTCAGCGTGAAGCGGGCTCTGTGGTACGGACAACTGTCTGGTATGGTGGAGCCCATCTTTGGCGTGCTGGGCGCCGTGGCCGTGACCTTCGCCAACCTAATTCTGCCTTACGCCCTGTCCTTTGCGGCCGGAGCCATGATCTACATTGTGTCGGACGACATTCTGCCCGAGGCACATGCCAGCGGCAATGGTACGATCGCCACATGGGGCACAGTATCTGGCTTCCTGATAATGATGTGTCTGGAGGTGGCGCTGTCGTGAGCAACCACCGGCCTCTGCCATCGACCGCCTTGCAGAACTCGTAACCTAGTGTAAAACTCAAAGATTCCATTGTACTTAACGCGAACTTCTGCTGGCTTGTAAATAGATGCGGGCTTTGTACAAATCTCAGAATCAGCCCCAACCAACGAGAATCTAATAAGTAAGTTTTTGTAAAAAAGAAACTTGACAACTGGTGATGCCGCGGTGGCATCCGTGCAATTGTGTATCTGTGCAATGTAGTACATTCCCAGCGAGTTATGTAAATGAACCGAAGCGTTCTCGGAAAGATTGTAAACAGACGTGCATGTGAATTAGGTTTTAAGTTGTCACCGGCGTCCAGTGGCTTGTGTCTTTTTAAACTGTCTAATGTTTAAGCAATAAAACGAAGCGCATTCAAATCATCTCTCGACTACGACCGCTGGTACAGCTAGCTGGCCTCGTCCGGACGACTTCCTGGCCGTCGCCGGGCCCTACGATAGCTGATAAGAGCAAGTAAATTCAATTAGATAACACGGAGAGCCAACAACACAACTGGTTGACTCGCTGTCAGCGAATGATAGGTGATAAGAATCTGTCCAGTGTAAAGAGTTCCCAATATTGCGCGTATTCCGTGTTTGAGATACGTGCAATTTCAGACGGCCCGCGACCCTGCGTTTTGTGCCCGCCATTTTCTGGATTAAATAATCATTTCTGATATGTACGTACTCGCCCAAATGACGCGGCCCACAGTCCACCAACTGTGATCATGGTCATCAGCAAATGTGGTCGATAAGACCATTTGGTAGCTATCTGTTGTAGAATTTCCAAACCTGTACTTAATAGTGGTTTATGCTTGCCATAAAACAATAAACACTGCGGCCCTCAATGACCCATTAGTTGGGGCCATATCTCAAGTAGAGTACATGCTTCTGTTAATTGATAATGCCATCGATTAAACTAATTAAAGGCTTTCTAATTTTCCCTTACCTCCCTGGCGAAAAAATAGCTAATTTCAGTCTGCAACTCAAGTAGAGTTGATGAATTCGTACCTGTACAGTGTTATCATCAAAGAAGTGATAAAGCTTTTGAAAAGGTTGTTAGCTTTAACAAACTTGAATGATAGGAATATGAAAATATGTAGGAGCACTTTGATAAGTCAAGTTATAGCTTCCTTATCAATTTCTGCAAAATTCCGTTCCGTACATTGTCGTAAACTATAGATAAGGTTAAAGACCTTATCCGAAAAAAATCAAGAGAATCGTCTGGAGGCAAGGAAAACGCGTTCTTAAATATAAAAACCCAATTTAGGAAACACCCCCAAAATCAAGCATTCTCTACTCACCGGTATTTTTCCAAAGAGCTCTGGAAACTCGTACATCCGTATGTTGCTTATGGGAAACTTGCTGGGATCACATATTTTGCGCTGCACCTTGCAGGCCTCAATCCAAAGAATCGATACGACTGGTATTTTCCACTCGGCGGCTTTTTTATAAGTTGAGAGTAGACCATCCTTGAAGACCACATGTGTGGTGGTGCTATAAACGGAAAGAAATCGTTTTTAAAGATAAGTTCGAGTATAATGGTTGTAAACTCTCAACTTACCGTGTCAAACGATTATTGACCTGAGCTCCCATTTTGGCAATAATAGTTTTTACGCCCTCGGAGCGATTATCGTTGCCGGTTCGCACCTCCACGTAGACAACTATGTCCTTGAGCAACTCGGGCAGGGTGAGCGGCTCCTGGGGATTGCGTTCTTCCATCGTAATGATGCTCTGTTCGGCCTGGGGCACATCGAAGGTGTTGTACGCTGACTTAGTGGGGCTCCTGAAAGAAACGGTTGGCTTTTAATTATAGTTAAATACAGTTTTTAGGTAAGATGTTCTCGGAATGTCAACAAGTACAAATTTTCTTAGTTTGCCTACAGACCTTAGTACTTTAGCGAAGAATGCCGAAGCAAAGAGAAATTTGGTGAAGGAGTACTTTAAAACATATGGCGAATGTGAATAACATGTTACTAAAATATGGTAGTTTTCTTAGGTGTCAGTTGCAATCTAGACAGTTTAATGCACGATGGCACTGGGGCAGCTACGATCTTGTTTAAGGATCATGTGACTGCCGAAAGAAACCGTATCTCCTATAGGAATTAACTGGTTCTTTTGAAACCCTTTCTAGCACTTACTTTAAGGCACGAATGGCGCGCAGACGTAGGGCAGCATTGGGGCTGTTGAGATCTTGTTGCAGGCGCGCCCACTGCCCCTCCTGTCTGGTGGGCGTGGCTGTTCCGTTCGCAGGCGCTGCTGGAGCTGCTCCCGATCCTGCCGCCACGTCCTGATGGGGATCCTTCTGGAACTCGGACCTGTGCTGGCTGATCGCCTTGGAGACGGCTAGGGCCGGGTTAAGCATCAGCCGATCCTTGGCCACCTGGTCATCTAGCAAAAGAGAACGCAGCTTGTTAGCGATGTTCGGGTCATTTCTCCACATGTTGATCTGATATTTCTGTACTATTTTCTACAACTACAAATTTTGGGGTTAGCTACGCATCCGGAATTAAAACTACTGGGTTGTTAGAACTCTAAAAATGGAATGCACAGCCAACCTGCCGGGGCCTGAGATTGAGATTTGGCAGTCAGGGTCGTCGGCTTGGACCTGGAGTCCCCCAGATTTGAATCCTGCAACGGCCGACGGATGGGTGACGCCGCTGTTTTCTTGGCGGCGACGGAGGAGTTGGCCACGATCGAGCCATAGGTCTTCGTCTTCCACGTGGGATTGCGCAGCAGAAACTTGTCCATGGTCCCAGGCTAGGTGCTCCGCACTCTCCCGCTCTATATTGCACTTAATTTCGGTCGCAAAACTCTGCAAAAGGCGCGCCAATATTTTCCTAGTCCAAACCTGCACACAAATTAGAGATGTGAAAAGCATATGTAACGATCAATGTATCGATAGTTGGGCCACACATTCTTCAAGTATGACCATTTTTGGCCACGACATTCGAGCGGATGGGTTATCGATCTAAAACAATCGATAAACGGAAGTGTGATACTCGATTTTAAACGTTAACGTAATACGTTAGGGCGGGTCGATTTGAATGGGTCCGAAAAAAGGTAAAAATCGTATAAAATATGCTAGAACTGCCGGAGACTCCATTAGAAAACAAAAAGAAATGCCGTACTAAACAGTTGATCGGGAAAATGACCAAGAAATAAACGGAAATGGCGCGGAATATTTATATGGCAATTGGTGGTACGAAAGTTCTTTTTGGAGGTATACCTCTTTATTAAAGTATTCTAGTTAAAATTAAATAATTTACAAATATCTTAATTTTAGTAAGCTTACAGGAAAGTACTTCAAGGATGGAAAATCACCCTTTTGATCTTGGAGTTCATTGTGCAGAATTTCGTAACCACAAGATTTTGCAAATTTGGCTGAAATGATGGTTAGGCCCAAATCCATGTGAACAAAGGCTGTTTATGAATTTAAAACCCATCAAATATTTGTTTATCCAAAATATTCTCACAGAATATCAAAATACAATTAAGGAAAACCGTATTTTTAAAAGTGTTTAGCTATACTTACACAGTAACGCATCCAAAATAAAACACAAACATTGACTTTCCAAACATTTTTAATGCGCACTAATGTCGTTTACATGTTTTTAATTCGAACTTATTTACATATGAATTGTATGTACAGCAAAAATAATAAGAAAACAATAAATCGAACTCGCCTAAAGTAGCAATAAATTTGCTTATGACATTCTCAGCCCCCCCTAATGAATCTCAGGCAATCTCTCCGTGCGCTTTTCGTGGGCTCTAGGACATTCTCTCAGTCTTAAACGATTTAAGAAACTATGGCAAAATTTTAATTACTCATTACAAATTGCATAATCAATAAATCTCTCTGCTTGCCTTAAAGTTAATTGCGGTTAATTAGAGTTAGTGCGTATTAAGTGCGTCCGCTAAATGGCTGCACTTCGCTGCATTTATCACAAAACTGAGCGAAATGCACTCCACGGTGATCCAGTGTTCCAGGGATCCAATGATTTGTGGATCCTCCACTGACCAAACTAAATCGTAGGCTTTGACTAAATAATGGTAGAATTAACACTAGACGATGAATAAATTAGGGCCAGCCAGGTTGATCATTCTGAAATGAGGAGGAGAGGAGTTTTAGATTGGGTTTCCTGAGGAGGTATCTTAAGGTGGTGACCTACCGTGTGCGCTGATCAGACTACGTGCATCCCAGAGGGACATCTGTGACTGGGAGAGACGGTGCTGCGGGGGATACAGTTTGTAGGGGAAGTACGAGTGGTGGAAGGTGGCGATGGGAATGGGCTGTGCCGGCTGCAGGAATTGCTGATGCTGGTGCTGTTGCTGGGCCGAGATCTTCCGCGAGACCTTCGGCTCCTTCTTGGGCTTGCTGGCTCCACCGGGACACGGCTGCTTCGAGGACTTGATGAAGTTGGGGATCCGCGCCAGCAGGCCGCAGTAGTACGGATCGTCCTGCTTCTTCCTCTGCTGCGCCCCGCTGCTCTTCTGCCGCTTCTTGTCCGCATAAATGGGCATCAGCGATCCGCCAGCCTCGTAGTCGGGCTGTAATTTCATAGGTCACGTATTTAATATTAATAAGGGCTGGAATTTTACAAATTCATTCGGAAAGTATTTCTCTTAGCATTTTTAAATATTCTAGAAACTTACACCATTACTATGTAAAATAAATCATAATGAAACTAAGGATTTTCCCTAAATGTTCTTACTATCAAAAAATCATAATTTAATGAAATCATTTCTTCTTAAACTGTCTTACTGTTTTAAAATCTATGGTAAGTTTTATCAAATGTTACTCCTACTTCTCTTAAAGAATTATTTAATAATTAAAACTTCAGTTTATCCCCAAACAAATAAAAACTATTAAGTCAAGTTGATCAATATAGTATAATAGCTAAAATGGCCTAACCCATCAAACTGTCAATTTTACGAGTGAAATAGTTACTCCCACAACAACAAAATATACGCAACTTACTCTTTTATGGAAATTTGACTAATTGATAGTAACCAAAGCAAGAACAACATTTGAAAAGTTATAAAACTTTTTTTATAGTTACGTACCTATCAGTATTGATCAATTTTACCCATAACTTTTTTTGTGGCCTGTGTATTGTATTTCAAAATGCTAAAAATATGATTTTTCTTACAAGAAAATAAGAGAAATTATCATTTATCTTTCCTCTTGACTTCCTATATATAATAGTAGCTAGATTATTAAATTACTAAATTACCTTGGGCACATATGGACCCTCGTTGAGGAAGGCGGCACTGAAGATGCTGCGACGCCCCTTGCTGGAGTGGCTCGAGTTCTGGGAATTCTGGGAGTTCTGCGAATCATCCGAGGCGGCGGGCGTGGGATAGATCAATCCCACCTGGCTCTCGATGGTGGAGTAGGGATCCTCGCTGCTGTGCGTCAGCGGAACTCGCACACCCATCGCATCCATGGACTTGGGCATGGCTTGGAGGCGACTCCTCAGCATGTCCATGGCCACCACGTTGACCACGAGTATCCAGACCGGGGAGTTGATTAGATTGTTGTTCGACTTGACCAGCGACACGGCGGACAGGCACTGGCGCTCCAGTCTTCCGCGTTCCGGATAGGTGCGCGCAAACTCGCGATTTATGTTCGTCTGGAACTTCTTCATGTCGAAGAGTCGGGCCGAGGTGCCCGCGGTGAGGGACATCTGCGGCATTTGGATTATGTCTCCACCGATTACCGTCTCCTCGTTTCCCTGCGAGGTGCTGTTCACGTAAATGCTGCTCTTGCCGTACCGCTTGATGAATATGTTGCCGGTGTCGTCCATTTTGATCTTGAATCCGTCGCCGATGGACTTCTTGATCACCTTCGTCTCCGCATCGCGCATGGGGTTATCGAAGCCATTCAGGCCAATGCTAGGGATTTAGGGATATAAAATAAGTCGGGTTTCAAAAGTATAATGATTTCTTTCTGCCGAATCTGTAAAAATTTCTATTATAAACGATCATTATTAATCGCCTTGACAAGGATCTAATATTTAATAATAAATAATATTCCAGTGAATTTTACAAAACTGCTAATGGTTTAAAGAAAGTGTGAAATGTTTTTATATTTTAGAAAAAATATTTAATTTAGTAATATTTTATTTGAAAAATATTTCCTTGGGAGATTACCATTATTATAATTTATGTTTTTTAACATCAAATCAGTATTTCTAAGCTTCAGATCAGGGACCGTAATCATTATGAGATTTGTTTAAAACTCAAAAAATTAACATTATTTTTTAAACGCAATGGTATTTTCCTTTTCTGCGTATGTCGATCCTAAGTTGTTGATTTTTAGATTAAAAAACAGATCAATTATCTTTATGTACAGTCGCTACTTTAGATATATTATTATATTTGAGCTGTAGTTTTAATAAAAAAAACCTTAAATAGTTTAAACTTTAAACAAATTGTTAACTGATTAAATTTGAAACCCAAAAAGATGGTACATTTTTTTTTGATTCGTATAGCTTTAAGATTTCGGCTGAATAAAATATGTTGTATTTATATTATAGTATACTCAAACTCACCGCACTCCATCGAACCCATTCTTGGATCCATTAATGGTTATCACAGAGGAGCGGGCGTAGGCTTTGGCCACACGTCGGTTCTTCTCGAAGACGATTATCTTGGCCCAGATCTCGTCGTCGATCTGCTCCCACTTGGACAGAACCTCATTGATGTGGTCCTGCGGAAGGTAATCAATAATAAGGAGTCAATAAACTTCAAATAAGGTCTAATAGATTAAAACGCACCCTGAAAAGCTTCTCGCGATCGTGCCAGACGTCTTCCTCCTGCTCCTCCTGCCCGATGGCATCCAAATTGTCCAGGGAACGCGATATGATCTTGCGGCGAGAAATCATCTTGATTTCTGTCTGTTCGCTCGATTCGTTTCCTCTGCAACGGTAGAACATTTTCGGAAATTATTACAAAATAATTATGAGAGACAATTAACTTAAGCCAGCAGCGGGTGCGAATGACTTTGATTGGATCTGGCTGGCAGTCGAAATGAAATCACCGGCGAATGGGACACGCACTGAAAAGATTATTAGGCAATCGGTCCAATCAATCTGCAAGCCAATGAACTCTGCGCACGGATGTTAACAATGGGTGTTTTTTGGTATTGGTTTTTTACTTTAAAAATTTTTTTTTAGTAGATAGCTCCTTGGATCGTTCAATCGATCGAATCACCAATGTCACCGCCTCTAATTGAGCGCCGGCAATGCCTTGACAACTGTTTGGTGTTAAACACATTTTGTCGAACACTGCTCGCATTTTGCATTTATTTTGCTGTCGGGTCAACTGGCTTGGCATTTCAATTGGCCATTTGGGGTTTTTCTTCAAAGTCAGTCTGATTTGCTTATGCACCGCAGTGCCGTCAGCGTTGTGTGACAAAATCCAGTAGTGGTAGCCGCCTGTCAGGTGGATTGGCGGTCAGCCACGTGATTGGCATTAATGCCGGGCCAAATGCGATTTACCAATAAATGTGTGTCACATATACCCATTCCGACGAGTGGCAATGAAAGTGAGTCTGTCTTGGGGGGCGGACTCTAGCTCCCCATTCCCAATCCCAATCCCATTCCTAGGCGACATTTCTGAGCGTGGTCATATTAAGGGCACTACATGCTCGGCATTTTCTAATGACAACCCCCTAGTCGTGCCCTAATTTAAATGTTTTCCAAATTACCCAGAACTGCAGGCTGTTCTTTAATGGCCAACGATCGAGTTTCCCGTCGAGCATTCACAAACACCGATCCCAATCCATTGAAGCTGCCGACTTTGGCTTTCTATTCGCCCAAGCGTTGGCGTTGGTTCTTTAATTAACGGACAGAGAATGGCCATAAAACCTGATAGATGTCACGCACTTCTGTGTCGCGAAGATCCGTTTTTTGGCCAGAAAGAAATTTCAAATTATAACTGGTTTTCTTTTTGGCAAAACCCCTAAGATTTATGGTAAATAATATTCTGTAAGAACATGTAGACACGCCCACGAGCCAAAGATTTTGACACTTTTGTGGCTCTGAGAAATCTATGAGAAATGGGGAGAAAAGTTCTGGGCGGGCACCAGTTTTATGTTTCTCGAAACGAAGTGTTGAAACCTTGTAAGTTTCTTCATATTAGAGATTTAATGTAGTTTTCTTACACACTCAATAACCTTTTGAAGCCTTTAGAATTCCCGTGAATTGGCAAACAGTTGTTTAATTAGAATCCAAGCCACTTTCATTCATGACTCAGGGGAACTGCTGTTAATGATGGTCAAATATCACAAAGTTATGATTGCCTAGCCACGACTTGACCTCTTCTCGACTGGCAGTTAAAACCCCAAGAGCAACATTCAGTTCTGTGTGTTTCATCTTCTATTTTAAAGCGATATGATTAAGTTTCTTGGCGTTCCTACGTCAATGGGGTTCTGTTTTTTTTTCTACTCTTGACAGACTGTTTTATATTGTATAATATATACGCATAACATTTCGTTCGTTTCACCATCGCCGGCGAGGTTCGGTTGGGTTTGTTTTTTGTGTTTTTTTTCTCTGCTGCTGCTGCTTGGCTAATAAGTATATAAAATCTTTTTGTATGCCGAACGTGATGTTGATTTTTTGGCGATGATCGCATTCAACAACAACAAGAACCACACTCACCAGAAATATCTGTATATAAAGACAGGGATATGAAATTTAATTATCTAGCTGGCCTTTGGTTATGAAATATATAAAATGCATTAAATAATAAAAGCTTCTTACATGGACAGCAGAAACAGATGATTTATCTTGTTTGCTGATTTATTAACCCGCAGTTCGCTATGCTTGTTTGGTTTTTTTTGGGAACTATATAGTTGAAATGATAAACAAAGCGGTGTCTTGAAAGGAAGAGCTGCCCTTTGGGAGCTGCAGCAAGTGCTGATCTTGGAGTCTTTCGGTTGCCCGTCAAGTTCGTGCCTTGAGTCTTTCGATTTAGCACATTTTCCGCATACCGATACCCGCTTGCAATTAATTATGTAAGCCCCACAAGGTCGCGGCGAATGTATTTTTAGCAACGCGGCAACTGTTCTGTGCGTGAGTACGCAGTTTATTATGGTTTTATATAGAACCACATAGTCAGCCGTACCAGTTCCCCAAGGCCGGGGCGCAGAAGGAAGTCTTTTTGGATCTGGTCTCCTTTGTCCGCTTGCTAAGCCGCTTAGCATTCGGTTAATTGGCAACTACAAGTAGTATATAGCCATGGCTATGAGTCAGTTGCAATTGCGCAATTGTATGGCTTGTGCCATTCTGCACTTCTAGGCTCCGCTGCCTTTCAAATGGGGGCGCGTGTGCACTGGTGACTTGTCATCTAGAGACCCACACCCAAATGTAAGGCAGCTAGCCTTTCAGCTGCTGTTTCTGTTACGGTTTCTGCAAGTTCTTGACGCCCCGGCCAACCTTGAATGTGTACCGAACCAAGCTGAACCGAAACTGGAGTTCGCGTACTTTACATGTCCGGCTGGAACAAGTTTTTTGGGGGGGCTTTTATACGCGGGCATTTATCATCGTAAGCAATATTTCTGCTCTTACTTTCGTATCTCGAGGGTAGATGGCAATAAAATGTGTATTTTCGGTTTTCAATCAACGCAAGTTATGAGCACTCAACGACCTATCCTAAATGAGACATTTTAATTTTACATTTATTTACAGCTGCCACCGCCCGAAATTGTCTTTTAATGGGCATAATAATTTAAATTGAAAACAAAACAAGAAATCGAATAAAATTTTTTGCACAATGTCGCGGGCGGCTGTGCTCTTGTTACTTCTTTGAGGCAACGCAACAAAAGTCAGTCAACAAACAACACCATTAGCAACAAAAACAAAGCTGGCATCTGTGGCTTACATTATTATGAGTTGGCACTTTATTTCGTCTCCATGTGAGCAGGGCGACAAAACAAAACAAGCCCCACCGGCAGCAAGAAAATGAAAATTAAATCGCATATTGTTACTGAGGAAGATGAAGATGATGATGATGAAAAAAAAAAAACAGACATATATATATGAAGGGGCACGCAACATGCAAGAAAAACCAAGCGAGGAACTCATGGATGAAGAGGCTGTCTTGGACGCCCAAAACGCTGGGCACGTGTGAGTGTCATAATCATCGGGGGTCTCCAAATATATGTTTATAGTCTGTATCTACAAGATAGTTTTTAGTAGGGTAACTACTGAGTACATGCAAATTTGTACTATTTATTCCTTTCCTATATAATTACTACGAAAACTTGCATGCCTTTCAGACTCTTTGGTCATATAAATAAAATAGGAAAATGTTTATTACCTATAATGTACCCTTGGTTTAAAAAATATTTATTAAAATGCACATGAAACGTGTTGGCTTTTGTATTGATGGTTTTATTATTTAAAATGTAATAGCATTTTTTGCACTGCTTGGTTCTATGTTAAGCCGCTGATTTAGTTATCATTGATCCGATTTGAATACTTGCATCTTGTGTAACTAAATATTCTACCATTTCCATGCTTATATTTTTATGCATATTTTTTATGGAACTGTAGATCTAATAACTTACAATTTGAATACTTTTCTTTTAGTTTAAAGTCCCATAAATATTTTTTTTTTTGAAATATTCCTCTGACCTACGACCAAATTTATTGAGCAGATCTCAGGATTTGATATTTTTTAACCTTTCACAGATTGATAAATTTAAGTTTTCTGCTTTCATCTGATAGACTTCTAATTGGAAGCTGACTGTAAATGTGCCATTTTTCTTTGTAATCATTGTATCTGCAGCCATCTGTCAAAGAGTTCTTTTGAAGACCATCTAGATTGCTTAACTTTAGTAAGTTAAATGCTAATATCTTGGCACCCATCTGAAACTGTTCGCTAAAATTTATGGATGGAAAGTTAGGGCATTGGGGCTGCGCCATTGTGTGGGCCTGCTCACTTGCTCCAATTCTGGTTCGGATTCGGATTCGTATTCAGATTCGGATTCAGATTCAGATTCGGAGATGGAGTTGGAGATGCTCTGCTTGCGGGGCCAGCGACTCCCCACTCGGCTTTCATCTTTGTGGGGCTCTGCACAATGCGGCGTATGCGCAATGTCTGCTCTGTCACTCGATGTGCATGTCAAGCCGATGATTGCATCACCATTGCAGCAAATGCTGCCACAGCAGCAGCAGCAGCAGCGGCAGCGGCAAAAGTGGCAGTGGCAGCTGCTTTGGGGCAACGTTTTTGCGGTTGGAAAATCGGCACACGAAAATTATAAATTCCGATTTTCACTTGCCGTCTCGGCGCCTTTCATAATATTTTCACTTATTTCTCTCCCATTGCAGTGCTGAGAATTTGCAATTCTCACCAAAGTATTTCGTGCCAGGAAGGCGTCCAAAAAATAATAAAAGAAACAAAAAAAAAAAACTGTTGCACAGCACTTTCGTGTGGCTTTGACTTCCGCTTTTGTTGCCATGTTGCCATTGAGTGATTATTATTACCCGACATTGTTTTTAATGTTCAAATTACTTGCAAAAATTCGGCTTTTATTTGGCCAAGCACGTTTTGGGCCTTGGCATCGGTCTATTCTTAGGCCTCAACAAGTGGCGCACAGAACTCTTGTGTCCCAAGATAATTCCACGCGAATGAAGATGCTTTGACTTGCCTTTTTTCGGCTAATTAAAAGTCGACTTTTTGTGTTCTCAGACATTTGATTAGTCATCGAATCGATTTGTTTATGCTAATACCATTTGGCAGCCAAACACTGCAATTGATAATTGGCAGTTGCCCATGATTCATGACAAACATTCGTCGCCGAATTACATCATGGAAATGAAAACTCTTCAAACCGATTTATGCCAATCAATAGCGGCCACTACAATGCAGCCAAAATACAATTAAAGAGCAGGAAAAGACTCGAATGGCAGGCACTTCAACAAAGGCCGCTCGCACTTCTGATATTTTGTATTATGTATTTTTTCCCCCCGCTTAATTAGAGTTCATTAAATTCGGCTTCGAGTTTGAAATTGAGCCACAATCAAATGCGTAATTAACAATTGCGTCGATAATTGGGTGTAAAATTCTAGCTAAAGTGGACATAATTCAGGGGCGAGCGACTTGAGTGCTCGGCCAAAATGGCCCTCGAATGTGGGCCAGGCCAAAACCCTCTACGACTGTCCTAATTAGGGGCTTTCGTTTGGCATGCAAATAAGTCTTTCTGTTTACATAGATCTCCAGATGAGGAGGGAATGGCGAATCCATAACAAAGACTGCGAAAAAAAATAAACGGCGAATAGGCCAAAGACCCCCGGAAGATGGGGTCGATAATATATACTATATAATATATATATAGTTGGCTGAATCACTTGGCGAGATCGCCAAGATCTCGGCAGCCTTCCTTAATTTTTTGGGAATTTCGTATTCGTATGCATTGAATGTTTCAGACAAAGTGGAGATTACATCGCTCATAAATTCTGGCCAAGGCAAGCGGCCAAAAGCCGCACAGGGCTGACATTTTTTTTGGTTAATAAAAATATGAAATTATATCAACGATAATGCTAATCTTCGTGTAAATTAAGCACACGCATTTCGAATGCGATCGCGAACGGGTTTTCCCAGGGCCAGTGAAGGTTGTTGAACAGTTTTCCACTGCACTGCCAACTGGGTTTTGACTCGGTTTCCATTCCATGTCCGAAGCAAAGAACCTTTTGTGCAGTGGCAAACAAAAGACTCAGGCAACGAACTTGATTTTGTAATTTACATGCTAACACACATTTGGCCCACTATAATACAGCCTAGCCATATGTACTATATAGCATTTGGCTTTGGCTTTTCAGCTTAGCTCTGCCTTTATTTCACACTCATGGACAGCGCGTTTCAGTGGCCTTTGGCGTTTAGCACATCCACCATAAAACCATGTTTATTTATAAGACACCACAGAATGCTAATTAAAACCTGTGGCTGTCCGCTCATCGGTCTGAAATCTCGACTTGGACAATTTTGCAGCCAGATGATTGTACAACAGCATTTTAAGTGCCAATCAAACGATCTTCTCCGCTTGAGTGTGCATTCATTTCAATTAGCAGCGAACGACAAAATTGATTCCTCCAAATGTCAAGGTCGCGATTGGGGATGGTATGATATTGTATGGTATTGTATGGGATGACTTACCCTGCTTCAAAGTGCAATGCTTTGTATGGGTATCCGTAAGTCCCCCGATTGATGCTGGATTTATTCCCAAGTACTAAACAGAATTGTACTTGTAACGCCCACAATCAATCAACCAGCCAGGTTTCTCCTCAACTATGTACTGTTTTTTTGTTTTCTTTTATTTTAAATATTATTGTTTTGTTTTTTTTTTTTTTGGATTTGTCTTTCAATCTCTATAAGCACAACACTCTCAGAACTCTGCGCTCGCGACGATTACGATTACGATGGCGATTACGACTTCTACTGAGCCTCTGCTGTGGGTTAGTAACTTCTCGCTGTTAGGGCGTTAAATTGTTAGGCGGTTGGGAAGCGCGCGCAAGAACCGCTCGCCTCAAGCTGCGTGTTTCGACTGCTCGGCTAACGGTGAGCCCCACAGCAAGACAGCCCAACTTGTTGGCCAAAACTGGCCCGAAGTTCCCCAGCCGAAGCCCGAAACGAAGCTCAATCTTCAAGCGAACACGATTGCGAAGAGGGTTCTCAGAAATCCCGCTTCTCTCAACGCTCGCAGACGCCTGCCGACTGCCAAACAAGAAGGTCTACAAAGATTCTTTAGGAATCTTTAAGAAGCTTCTTCAAGAACAATGATACGGATTCTATAAAAGCTTCTTCGCCAAACAAGATCTTAATTTTTTATGCTTGTTCATTTTAAATAACTTGTTTTTAACTTTCCTTGTTCTGAAATCTTGATATTCAAATCAGGAATACCTGAAAATTTTAAATGTCATTTTGCTAATTTAAAGGTGAAAGTAAAATACTCGTTCTTTGTGAAAAAAGAACAAAATATATAAAAAAAATCCTATTAACAATTATGCATTTTAATGTTTGTTTATTATTTATGGTTATCACAATAAAAGTTCTTGGTTGATAATAATAAGTTTTTAAAATACACATAAATTTTGTATGAAATAAATTAAAATATCTAAGGACTATAAATTTTAAAAGAAAATAAAATTATTATGTTTAAATAAAAATAAAGTAAATATTTTTTCTGTTTTACTTTAAATACAACTAAAGAAAGATATAATTAAAAATTCAAAGGGTGACAGAAACCTTAAAATAAAAAAATGTTTACTCATTAAAATAAACAACTTTAATTTTTATACCAAAGCTAATATTTCTAAAAAGTGATAAAAATTTGTTTTTAAGAGCAAACAATTTTAAAATAATTCGTTTTAAACCAAGAAGTGGTTATTTTTATCTATGCCTTTTTTTAAAATGAGTGAAGTTATGTTCCTGTACAAGATAGAGTTCAGAATACATTAAAGTATCGCCAGCTTCAGTGCTTGGAAATTTAAATTTAGGTATTCTTTTATTTATTTTCGCATGTTGAGCGTGTGAATTACTTTTGATTTGTTTGGCTCGCCGCTCTGGTTGCGGATGTGTCAGTGGCTCAAATCCCCTGGGTTATTCCCCCGGTTCAGCAGGCTTCTCTATTTGGCTCTGGTTTCTTTTTTTTTGTTTCTTGATTTTTGATTAACCCAACCAGCGACATAATTCCGACTGAGATTCGTTCGTTTATGGCAGTTGGCTTATTTGGTTGGCCAGCATTAAATGCAATTTATGTGCTTTAGATTCCGAGTTGGCCAAAGAGGTGAATCATGGCGGAGGGGTGTGGCGGTCACTTAGCATAGAATGGTTATATGGCTATATGGCTATATGGTTCCATCCCAGTGCTGTGATGGATTTCCCTTTCACAAGTCAATTATCGGGGGCTGCCAAATTGACTGGGCTGAGCTCACATAGATGGAATGCCCAGAGATCGGGGTGCTTTAAATAGAACTCCTCGAGTGTCCGGCTGTCATAATCACAATGTTCATGGCTATTCAATCACAGCGGTGAATACGTATCGAAAGGCAGCGTTGTGCGGCAATAATTGCCCAAGAATTTCATATACTCGCCAATGTACAATGTACAGTGTATATTCGCAGCTCGGCTGACCATGTTGTAATCCAAATATAATTTTTTAGCCACTGCCTTGTTATTGTTTCTTTTTCGTTTTTTGCTATTTCAATTAAAAGCCAACGCCAAACGGCAAATGGCAACAGGTACAGTAAACAATGGCTGTTATGGGCCGGGTGAAGGGGAAGGCTTTGGCTGTTTGGAGCATGCCAAGCAGGTCGTTGTTTTAATAATCATTACAAATTGCTTTTGGCATAGCGGACCAACGAACGACCTTGCTACATTAAAAAACGGAATATAAAAAAAAAGAAAAAAAACACTGTTGGTTTGGGAGAAAATGGCTAGAGCAAATACCTACATACAAATTGAGAAATTTGCAGCCACTCCATACACATTTGCTAATTGAAATCAAGGTTGGCTAAGCAGGGATTTGGCTTTTATATTCTGATTTTAAACAGTGTTTTCTGCACAATTATTTGGCTGCTCATCGCGCTAAAATAACAATAATATTAACAATAATAATAATAATGAATTGTTTGGGCGCCTTTGTTTTAGCCATGTTGTACAAACAGTTTCCGCATCGCAGTTGTTTGCTTTGGCTTCTTGGTGCGATTTAAATCGCCAGCGTTAATTCGTGCTGACACACAAAGAAAAAAACAAGAGCTGGCTAAAAATAATGGCAAATTCTTGATCTCGCCTCTCAAGTGACTTGGTGGTTAGTGTGGGCTGACGGCGATCAACGTGGCGTATGATTGATAAGCAAATGGATCTATTTTGTTTTTCTGGATTAAGCATACGTCATGGTGGCCGCCCTTTGGCCTATCTATAGCCAATCGATCAGGGAAAGTCCTTCACAGAATGGAACTATGATTCAGCAGCTTGGCAACTGTGACGTAACTCGAATTATAGCAAACTCATTAATTTGATACAAAAATCAGGTGTCAACGACTCGAAGAAACCAAAAGTTAAGGTCGCCGCTGCAACCTTCAGACTGTAATTTCACAAGATTGTGACTCTTTTTGGCATGCAGGAGGTGCTGTGCAATTTAAGAGCTTTTTAACGCCCAGCGAACACTCGGGCATGCAGAAACCGATCGGTTTCAATACCAAAAAGTAAAATAAGACAGAAAAACACAAAAACAGAAAAACCAAAAACCGAAACACCACATCAAAATCAAAACAGTGGGAAAAGGTTTCGCTCTGGGTGTGTTAATTGAACCGCCAGCAATTTCCGCATACGCAGCCTTGAGGCCTGGGAAACTGTTCAACAAACCCATTCGACGGCCACTTGATGTAAGCCAATTTTCGGTAATAACTTGGCACTCAATCCGTTTGAGGCGTTAACAATTATGTTAAGAACTTGCTGGCGATGACGCGGTCCAAATCTGAAAGTGTCTAAAAATAGCTGCCCAATTTTATGCTAATTGACCTAGCGGTAATTGGTTTTAAATACATGTGAACTTCCATAACTGATATTTCAGGTCTTACACGATTATCTCAATTCCTTACAGGTTTAAACTTATCTAAAAATATTTCAAAAAGTCAAGGACTGGTTTAATATGGTTTTTTTTTGGAAGTGTGTTTGTTTTATTTTTAAAAAACATTTAAAGAACTAATAGTATTATTAACAATATTAGTATATATTAATATAGAGCTTAATGCAAACCGTTTAATATAAAACAAAATTAAGAAATAAAAACAATTAAATGATGTGATACAATGACAAGATAATAAACCACATAAATTTATTTATGAACTCATACTTATTCTTTATAATAAATTGGTGAACATATTTATTTAATAGGCATTTTTATTTTTATTGAATATTTATACAAAATATTTTACATTTATTTAAATTACTTGTTTCATTTATAACATGTCTTATTATTATTCATACCAAACAAGTTTCCAGAACCAAACTAAGGAAATATAAAAGAGCTGTTGAAAGTAGTTCCCATAAATGTTACAACCGTCTGTGTTTTGGTATCGCATATTCGATTTTTGGCGGCCTTGCCCGGGGCGAGCAGAGTTTTTAAGCCGATGACTCAGTAGAAGACTTTTCACATGTCAACGAACAAAATGCCGAAATACGATGGCTATCGCCTCGAATCGGGGGAGAGATGTGGAGTCTGCTGGCTGGCTTGTTCGATGATATCAGAAACATGCGCCATTCATTTCACACGGCCGCAACGTGCCGAGGTGCAGGTACAAACTGCATCTGTGACTATATCGCCTAGGGAATCGGCAACACGCTGACTTGCAACACGGCCAACAAGGTGTAATTAACTGCCACAGACAACTGGAGTGGTGAGTCGAGGGGGCGCCATTAGAAGGAAGCCAGCAAGTGGCACAATTCCCCTAATCGCAACTGGCAACTTGCACTTTTCTTGGCCAGCCATTAGAAATGGAGCCAAGTAACCAGAACAAAAAAAAAAGCCACCAGAGGAACACTCCAGTTCTTGGAGTTCTTGAGAGCACGACAACTCCGAAGAGTAATTGCGCACATAATTCATGGCTCAAGGCCATGTTGTTGCAGCAAATGAATTTCGTTTTCAGCACCTCGCTCGAAGGATGGGTTCCCGTTCCCCCATCTCCATAACCATACCCATTCTCATCTCAAGACGGGCTTCTTTGTCCGGAAGATGGATGGTCTCGGTTTCGCGGCTGCTGTTCTCTGATAGTCGCGTTATGGCAGCTTATTAATCAAGTTGCTAGGCGAAATTAGCACAAGCAACTGAAACCGAAAGCTAAAAGACTCAGACAACCAGTCAGCATCGCAGAATGCCGTCTGCAATAGGCGATGTAAGTTTAATTATAATAAATGTCAGCTTTAAATATGCAATTAAGGCAAATGTAGAATGCTGCCAGCGATGGGGGCAGTTAATTGAGAGAGGTCCAACCTCTGAGACGCTTGTAAATTAAATTAAATTACATTTCTCAGGCAATAAAATTAAATGTAGTTTTATCTGCTGCAAATTGAGCAATAAATATACAATATTTTGTATAATCAGTTAAATTTTAATTGAAAGCCATTATGGGTAATAAAATAAAAATATATATTTAGATCTAATAATACTCCTAAATTTATTACAGAGGCTAGAACTTTTCAATCTGATTTAAATAATATTTATATCTAATACTACTCCCTCATTTATTGCAAAAGCTAGAACATTTCCATCTGATTCCGTGTCAAACATAAACCAATATCCTTCAAATGGAAAAATGAGATCCTTTATAAATCACCTGCCTATAAATAGTTCAATCTTAATGGAATAACCAAACTCGAGTGGCAGAAGCAGTGGCGATAACGCGCCACAATCACTCACTGGACTATTTATATAGCTGCCTGGGTATTCCCGATCATAATTCTCGGTCCAAAGGGATCGGGATCAGGCTAACGCCAGAGTTCCTGGCCCCGTTGACGCTGCATATTTATCGC